TTGGCAATGGCTGGATTATTAGCAAATGACGACATAGTTGAATTTAAAAATCTTATCTCTCAAGTTAAAGTGTCAACTCTTAATTGTGTTACACTGCACGCAAAATCGGGCCTCTTATCGTTAGTCTTAGATTTAATACGTACATACTAATACAGTATTATCTATTTAAATCTCTTCGCTTTCCTTTCTTATCTTCCTCTCCTTATCTTCAGCCCTTCTTTTTTCCTTCTCTTTCGTAAACGATGACATACAGCTCTCTTGTTGTTCCGTCGTAAACTTTACGATAAACGAACACTTTCCCATTCTTGTCAAATATTAATATGTCCGAGTTGTCGTTAGGATTGTCACACAGATAAAGATTCAGAAATGACGACTGCATGTAAGTATTACAGTTTTCATTATTATCATACGATATAAATAACGGCATTCACTTAACTGTTTTTTTTTTCTTTTTTTTTTCTTTTTTTTTTTTAAATTCAAAAATTTATTATAATGACAGCGTTTATCGGAAGTGCAATATCGATCATCCAATCAAATCGTTGAAACGCCAGGTTTTTTGATAAATTGATTATCAGTAAAAAAATACGAATGACGTATTGTTCTATTGACATATACAATACATTATAACGTCGTAATCATTCAGTACATACTTTAAATATTTACCATCCATGAAGTAACGTAACGATAATCTTTATTTAAATACAAAAAGAACACATTTCTTGCCTCGCACTTCCTGATATAATGATATAAAGCAAGTTACTTTTTACACTAACTTTCGCAAAAAACCAATATCATGGCCTTAACATATTTACTATTGATTTACTTGAAACGAATCTATTATGCAAATCCCCTCTCTACATTCTCACCGTTTGATAATTTCTTACAAATTGACACTTCGTCTTCGGCACCAGAAACAAATACGCATGCGTTTAGTAACATTGTTCACTCTGAATATTGGTGACCTTTCCCATTACTTGATACTATTCTTCAAAGATTACGCGACGTTGAATATGGACAGTATCCATGCGTTCTTTGCTCGTACTGTTGTCGATGATATTTCCCAGAAGCGTAAAATGGATTGATTTCAATGTCAACGAAACATATTTCTTAAGAATTGCTTTCCCAGGTATCTCTCTTACCACGAACCTCGCAACCCAACCAAAATATCGGTCTGCAACGCATGCAGATCCATTCTCTTGCACCAATTCCTCAATGCATTCGGATGTACTTTTCGGTAAACAATAGTATCTTTTTCCAATGTACTTGCACTCTAGTTCTTAAGTAATAGTAAATATCTTTATTTGTAACATTCGTCATCCCGCTTGCTGGCCTTGTAAACGCTGTCCGTTGAAATTGATCATGTTGGCAATTTCCGAATGAGAAATTTATTCAAGTCTCAAGTACTTTTTTAAGGAAGTTTGAATCGAGGTGTTAAGTTTATTAACAATTTCTGATGTTAAAGACATCGTTTGATCGTGGGGCCATTGCATTCTATTGTGTTACATTAGATCACACGCATGCATGGACCTCCAAGCTGCCAATTGTGTAATAATGGTGTCTGACATCAAATTACACACATTCTACTGCAATTATCAAAGTTCGATACAAGATATTTTATATTGCTAGTACTTCATACTCGGTATGGTTTCCTATGATAACCAATAACACAATGTTTTACTACGCACGAAAATTTTAATCAAGTCTGTGAAAACAAAGTCTCGACCAACTTTTAATTACATTTGCCTTTCTGAATACAACAAGTTAGTTATTCTGATTCGATAATATAAATATAATTGTAATAATTATAAACAGTTCAAACTTACAACAAATACACAATAGTAAAAAGTTACATAATGCATTTGCTAACAAAAAAAACAAAGAGAGAGATCATACAACAACTCTCTAAAACCAACTGTTAAATTCTAATCGGAGCCATTGGTAGTGTTGATAGCAGAGTCTGCAGAAACTTTCGTGGGCGGCATTTCTTTGGACGCTGGAGGATCGGGTTTAATATTTACTGTAATAGTGTGAGCGGTACGAGCGGATAGTCCATCATGAATTTCAATAATTAACTCTGCATGCTCGGCGTATTTTGGTGTGGACCTTCCTTTAGTTTTCGTCGTAAGTCTATGATGATTAAGTAAATTGTGCTCAGTGTGACCGGTGCTTTTTATGCTATAATGGGTGAAAACTTTACGCCATGCAAGCCTCCAGTTAGCAGTTGGGTAGTTCTCTTCATTGTATTTATCGAGCACAACTCTCACGGCCTGGGTAAACGCTGCTGCACGAGACTTTGCCATGTTATCAATTATTAATCGGCCTATCGGAATTACGAGCAGAAGTACAAATAAGAGTACAGTAGTGACCATAGCACTATTATATATGCCATCAAGTGTTCCGGCAGCAAATGTAATCAGGAGAGCGACTACAATGATGAACACGCACAGTCCTGTGGCAGCGTACGTGAAGTATGTCTTTGCCTTTGCGCTTAACAACGAATGGTCTTGAACAATCTTATTAATTTCACTCAGTTTACCAGCATATTCGGTACGATTAAGAAATCCATACAAGTCAAGACACCATTCTGCTTCGAACCTATGCCCAGGTTGGAAACAGTTACAACCAGAAAATTTTTGCTCAACAAGCGGAACGATAACGGTCTTCATTATGCTCGTAACGTCGGAGAATCTAAAAAACCGCGTAGCGGGGTTTTTATATGATTACATGATTGCAGTCATTGATCATTTGACAGAAACATTACGACTAATTTTTTAACAGGGATCAACAATGAGAATAATGTTGCCTATCGGGGCCCCGCGTGGATGGATCAGTACTTTCTTTTTTAGAGAGTGATATAAAAATTTACACATAAATTTATACATATTGAGCTGTACTACAAAAACAATCAGTAAGCCAAGGCGTCATCTGACAGATACACTTTTTTTATAAATCTACGTTTGTCGACAATTTTACGTAAAAGAAATAGTCACTTATAACATATTTAAGATATTTTATACGTCTTATCGTTTGTTTGTTCTGTTCTGTTCTGTAATATATTCTTTTTTCAATATCCGAACTGGTTGGAGCAGCAGTACCCAGCATCAGTATTTAACGCTGTCAACGGCTTACAATTCGTCCATCATTTGAACAATGCATTCAATGGCACAAAAGTTTTGGGAATTTCAATCCACCAACTATTCCTTTTTTGTAATCGTTTGATTTTTGCAAAGCGTCACCTGACGGATTTTCTGCATGATAAGTGTTACACAGTGAAACTCGATAAGTCTGACACAACGGGGCATGGCTGTCCGACTTATCCGACTTATCGAGGAATTCGACTTATCGAGAGGCCAATAGGATTCATTGTAACATGTTGTAAGATGTATTCGGATAATTTACTTATTAATAAACAAAGATAAAGATAAAACTTTGCTATTATTATTGCTTATTTAAATAAACGTCTATGCTAGTCTGCTTTAATGAAGTAACTTGTTTTCTACTGATTTTTTATTTTAAATCTCTTAATCCTGAAACAAATTGACTATTTACTTCTATGTCATTATTCTGTTCCAAGTATTGATACTTTCTAAAGCAACTTTATTTGATATTGGTGGACTCGCGTCTTCTTCCTCGTCATATCTGAAGGTGCTTCGTGGACTGCTGCAATAATTTCTTCTTCATCGAGCATTTTAGTCTCTAAACCGGAATCAATTTCAATGTAACTTCTTACTGTCATTATACCGTCACTATCAATATTGATACGATTTTTTGTTTACATTACAAGAATGTCTTTTCTAAATCGCAAAAATGAGTACAAATTATCAAATTAAATAGCAAAATCATCAATGATATAAACGTTGTTAAGTTACAAAAGTCCTTTCCAATCATTTAAATGAAGTAGCAAAGTTAGCAATGATGTAATGACGTGTAATATTTGTGTTTACGTTACAAGAAGGTCTTTCTAATTCGCCAAATAAAATACTAAATGATCGGTGAGTAACATACATGACTTTCAACGCTACTAAATTGGTAAAAATTTTGTCAATCTTTATACGAATCACGTGAATCCGACTTAGCGAGAGTCATTTACTACTATCTGGCTGGAAGGTTGTCCGACTACAGCTTAACATATGTTGTCCGGCTTATCGAGTAAATTTGACTTATCGAGTTACAGAGATCCCATATAAGGAAAGTGTTACACAATAAATCAAGTTTTTATACATTTTAAATACTTTTTCGCAGAATTGTGTAGCTCATCGCTACAAAAAAAATGAGATTGGGAATGCTAAACAAACTTGAAGCTTTTACAGCACAGAATACTATATTTCTTGAATCCCGTTGAATCCCTCACCCTCGCGTACGTAGCTATTACTTAACGAAAAGGCCTAAGAATAAGCGTTGCACAGAATGCGATTCTAAGACTCAGTTAAATTCCGTTCGTTGAGTGGAGAGAAATGGAGAGATGTTCTGAACAAAGGTTTAGTGAAGCAAATGTGGGAGGAAGGAGTTATTCTATGCAATACTTGTTGTGAATAAAAGTTCCTTGCGATAGTTAGGATGTCTTCAATCTTTCCTTGGGTTTGTGGGTGGCGTAAAAACAAATTGGCTGAACGCCGAGCCGAGCCTAACATGCACGCAGTATTGAGGATGTAACTGACTTTCCATTACATAGGTCTTGGTATTCGTTCAGATGGCTGGGGAGTCCCTTCGTGCCAGTCTCTATCCTCCGTTTCTTCGTTACCATCATAGTCGCTAAAAAGGAAAGATTTATACAACTCGGATACTTCTATCATGTAGCCTTGATATCAAGAGAGAATTCAAATGCCGCTGTATTTACGTTTCTTCCTCTTCGTTACCACATGTTTGCATATGGATTGATTCTCGGAGAAAGTGCATCCCTACGCACAAATAATCTTTCTGTTCAACTATAGTGTTGTCAGCGGGCTCACTTTCATAGGCTTGGCTTGGAATTGAGTAATGGTGGGTTGTCCTGAAAAGCTCGAAATGGCATTAAGTAACGAAGAGGATATTGAGAGTAATAATATAGGCGCGGAAGGAAAAGTGGGAACTGGGAGAGTGGGAGATGGAAGCTACATTCATCGTCTTTGTAATTGACGCGGCACGAACCAAGCCAAGTAAATCTAGTGATATCTCACCATGCCAATTTCTGACAACGCCCGTAGAGTGTATGATAGTGGTAGTTTATAGTGTAGCCATCTTTCAGACGGATGGATAAAAAATTTTTCACTCCTTTATTAAATCCATTTATCGTTATGGTCCGGTGCAAAAAGATAGATACCTCGAAATTGATCGCTATCAAATCGTCTAGTTAAAGCTGTGTGCGACTTTAATAACTGTCACGGCTGATGCTGAAATCCGCTGATGCTGAAATCCCCGTGACTTCTTATTTGGTCACGTAATAGTCATCATTATGCGCCCCCAAATTTTATTATCACGTAATTATGTGTACCACCATCACTGCATATCATTTCCTCGTTAGTTAATGATTCTT